TCTTGTGTTGAAGGATGCTTTTGTGCTACACCGAACCTGTGCGAATAGAGCAAGCTATGTTAAACGAATTATTGTGGCTTCAAGTTGCTGGGTTGTGTAAGCAAGGTGTTTGTCCAAATCCTGATCAAACCCTCGTAAGTCAGGTTCTGGAACCTTACTTAACGGAGGCGCAGTGCAGCTTCCTTTCGGGCCGCAGCACTATAAATATGGTGCTTGCGACTGGTCATCTGCAGGTGAGGTGCAGATAACAACACTAGCCGTTGTACTTGCGCTTGGTTGATTTTATAAGCACTTGATACAGTGCACTGCGAGACATTGTGGCTGGTGTTGCGTAAGTATGCTTGCCCGTGTAAGTTTGTAAGCTTCATTGTGTGTCTGCACAGTGGTGTACGAGCGAGTGTGCAACTGAGTAAAGTTACCTTGGACGACTTCGCAGTTGCCACTAGTGTAAAGCAAGGCTGTGTCTCAGCTCCTGCTTCGTTTAATATTTATCTTCAGGCAATGAAATCTTGTACCTTGGATGCGGCTTTTGCGTACGTTGTTCACGTGGAGCTCCGTATTGTGGTAGGTTGCTGGGCATCCGTCGTTTTATTGTGAGAATCCTGATTAGTTTGACAATTATCCGTATGTTGCTGTATGCCGATGATTGTGCGTTGCTTGTACACAGCGAGGATGAGTTGCAACACCTGATTGGTGCTCTGCGTTCGACGGTGGCCATATTTATGTACACCATCAACGCAAGCAAAACTATCCGCCTTTTAGTAGAAATGAAAGCTTTAAGGTTGCCGAAAACCACCGTTGGTGCTTTAGAACAGCTGGTCTTAATTACAAAAGCTCGGCGCTGCCAGTTTATCTGGCTTACCTATCCAAATACCAGGCTACTCGTTATACTGCAGTAGACGCGATAATCGACCAGGCGAAGGATGTCTCATGTACCTCAGCAAAGCCCTTCATGTATCCTCCATGCAAGTCAAAACTTTGGTTAAACCGGCAGGCTCTATACCGAATCAAGCCGATGGCGAACTCCTTGATCTCCTAAATTGACTGCGTCTACATCCGACCACATATCACAAGAGCGGAAGTTAACAAACTGGTCGAGCTCCACCGAGATTTTGCTGTTACTTGCACGACTCAAGCTAACCAGCGGTGACTTTAATATGCCAAATATGGAAAGGTCCATCGCGTCTTCACCACCCAAAATATGAAACGTTTGGCAAGCATAACGTTGCATACAACTGGACTCAATATATTCACGCACCTAACAAGAAACTAATGTCCTTGACTTAATATGCAGGAAGGACGTGCACCAGGCACAACTTTGTGTGCTTGACAACCTCATCGGTAGTGATCATAAAGCAATGAAGCCAACACTTAGACTGTCCACCACTACTCATTACAACCGCTCCCCAGTGGCTTCTTCTGTCCTCTCTACCGCGTCGACGGCAGATTCTGCACTGTTCCAGTAGCTCTTAACTGGTAGGCATTCTTTCTGGCAGCAGACAGATACGACCACTCAAGAGATGTATAAGCACGTTATGTTCGGCCTTGACGTGCTCTCTGCTAAGCAGAACTTGAGGAAATCAAAGGATCCATGGGATGCTGCTGTTACACATAGGGTCCTTAACCAACTAAGAAAAATGCGCCCCAGCCACAATAATACAACTGCTTTCCACAGAGTAATGGGCAAGAATAAAACATGAACAACGAGGCGAAACCTACAGGTTATGTCTGTTAGTTATACGCAGCACAATGCACTAAGCACTAATAACAAAGTTAAAGCACTTACCTCATTGATCAAGCGCAGGACAAACAACAGAGCTCTAACAATTGCCATATTCTTACTTCCTAATAGCAGTCTCATTAATAACCCCGCTCAACTGTGCTCATATCAAGAAGCACTTTTGGACTCCTTTACGGTCACGGATGCGGCAATTTCGCCCAAAACGCCCCAGCGCACCGATGATAAGCTGAACAGCATCAAATGTAAGCTAAGCGCAATCATGCGAGCTATCCGTACATTCAAACTGTTTTATTATCTCGGTCCCGATGACTTTCTCTCCGTCTTGCTGATTCTAAGAAGTCCAGACTTTCCAGTATTCCTCCTAAACTTATTTACACTCACCATAACGATCCACACGTTTTCCACTGCGTGGAAGCACGCTTTAGTCATAGCATGACACAAACAAAGAGCCCGTCCTGACACAGAAAATTACCGTCATATCTGACGTACACCCATCGCAGCAAGAGTGCTTGAAAGACTTGTAAAAGAGGTAATTCTCAAAATTTTCATGCATCACAATCTCATTAACAGGTCTCAACAGGGGTTCCTGCCAACGAAATACTGTCAGACACGTATGGAGCTTTATACAACGTCACGGTTGCTCCGAATAGCCACCTAGACTTTGACTTATTCGCCGTTTACCTTTACAGGCTACCAGCTCTAACCTACAAACTGGCGTTAGCTTCTGTAGGACTAGTTAATACTAGTCTGAGACAATGCGCGGAATAAAGCGCGGATATCAGAAGGCAATTGGAGTCGGACACAGCGGACTGTATTCGGTGGGCTACAACAAGAAACGGATGAAGCGAGGCGAGAGCGTACACCTGAGCGCCGGAACTTACAAGGCAGTTGTGTCGGGCCGATTGTAAGGACGATTAAAACAAGAAGGAATAATGTACAATCGGTCAATATGTAAATTGTACTTGAAAGATAAGAGTTATCGTTTTGGGCACTAGAGAGCTTCCCTAGAAGGCTGAACATAGAAAGCATTCGAAATCGAAAAGGATTGTTGAAGCGAGGTTCGTATGGCATAATCGTGCCGAGTAAAAATGAGCGTGCGTTCGTGTAAATGTGGGTTCGTCGGAAATCGGAGTCCGCTGTTTCGTTTATGGTTTGTTATTTATTGCTTGCAGGGCAGGGTGCATTTCGGCCAGCCTTTGAAGCGGGCTTGTCGGACTACAAAAGCTGGCTAGCCTAGAAAAATGCCAACTGGATGGCAACCTTCGCTGCTGCCAAACGATGCGCTTGTGAGTGGTCTCTCCCCCCGATGCATCCCGCCCCGCGCCAAAACGACCCTCGTCCCACGGAAAAACGATCATGGTATCACGGAGAAGCGTCCCCCTTCCGCGAAGGAAGGACACGCGTCCCGCTTAAGAAACGACCAGTGTTCACGTCAGGGTCCGCGAAAACATTCCTCGTGTGGGCCAGTAGATCGAAGGGGAGGGTAGGGGTATGTAAAGACGAGAAAATAGAAAAACGCAAAGTAAACGCAAAAAGAACAAACAAATGATCTGCGTTTTTAAATATTTTTTTGGTTTTGAATATTTTTTTCAATAAAGGTTCTGCGGAGGTTTTTGAGGTTTTTGTTTGTTTTCAGAACGTTAATCGACCAAAAATGCGGCAACTATACACAATATCTACAAAGCTAAAATATTTACACTGCACACAGTCGGGGAAACGAACGGGCTGACGCAACTCCCGGCCACGACGGTTGGTGGTGGGAGGCAGCGGGTAAGATTGGGAAGG